CTTTCCCTTCAAATGTCAGGGGCATGACGTAGAAAAAAGATCCTAGGTCATGAACGGTCAAAGTCTGGTGCTTGAAATGTTTTAAAAATGTGTAATTATGACGTAACCGCAGCTACCACAAATTTCAGCATGTGCCCAAACTAATTCAGAACATATTCCGGCAAAGTAGGGGAAGCCTCTCAGAACTCTCCCAGTAGCCCCAGGGTCAAAAATGTCTCGGACATCTGTTCAAGCCTCAGCCTCTAAAGGACAGAGCGGGCAGAATCAGTAGTCTAGTATTTTGAGCTGCAGGATTCACATTCATTGACGCAGTTCTGTGCACTCAATCAGCATGCGTAAATCCGTATGTTGGTGTTAAGCCCTCGGACCCATCTGCACTGTCAGCGGCCGACGCCCGCGAATGCTGTTCAGTTTGACCTGCTGTTCCACTCAGTTTGCGAGCGAGTACTGTCCAGTTTGACCTGCTGTTCTGTCCAGTTAGTGAGTGCTGTCCAGTTTGACCTGCTATTCTGTCCAGTTAATAAGTGCTGTCCAGTTTGACCTGCTGTTCTGTCCAGTTAGTGAGTTAGTGCTGTCCAGTTTGACCTGCTGTTCTGTCCGGTTAGTGAGTGCTGTCCAGTTTGACCTGCTGTCCTGTCCAGTTAGTGAGTTAGTGCTGTTCAGTTTGACCTGCCAGCCCCCACCCAGATGCTTTACCCCGGATATCGCCGCTCACTACAGGTGGCAGTGGCGGCGGCCGGACGGATGAGGTGCGGGGGGGGGGGGGCAGGAACGGCTCTCAGGGGCTGTTCCCAGGCGGCGACGGTGAGAATCGAGGTCAGCGACGGCATAGATGCTCCTTGGCAACGGCTGGCCTACATTCCGGGGACAGTGCCCTGCCCTGGTCGGCAAAATGACAACAGGAACGATGTGTTTGAAAGACGTACAGACGTTGATGGTTCAGCACTGCACTGCATATATCACGAGATGACGCGTGTGAACAGCTGCTACTTCGTTCCATTTCAACAATACACAAGTTCAACGTTGCGTAATTGTGTAGGGCTGCCTGTGGAATGGGCTTGAGAAATTTCATTTCTTTGCAATCAAATCAACTATTTAACCTCTAAACATTATCCCGTACTAACCAAAGTTCTTACTGTTCACTGAAACGAGGTAAAAGTAACGCGCCGCATTAGCTAATCTAACATTAAAGTTCCGCAGAAAAAGCACTCCAACATTTATTTTCCTGATCATGTATCAGTATTCCGCCATCTTCAGGGAAACCTCACTTGTCCAAATAGCCTGTTTTTTGTTCACCCGATGACCGTCACGCACCTGCTGCTGCTGTAATGATGGCTAAGTGCCGGCAGTCAGCGGGAAGTCGACGCTAGGGGTCCGCCTCAAGGGGTCAGTAATGGCCGTGGCACCAGATGCCGCGGGAATAGCTAGCGTAAGTAACTCATGTCAGGCAACAGTATTGACCTTGCTGAACGCTTACTGGTCTACGTGGCGGGTGATCTGTCAGATAACCAATGCACATGGGTTAGTGCTATTACGAGATGTCTGCAATTTTACGAAACGGCGGGGCGTTATGTAGGCAGCACAATATGAACACGAAGATGAAAGCTCACATATGATTAAGAAAGCCATATCAACGTGAAGTGGGATGAACCGACTCATATCATCAGCCTTCATCTCTTCTGACATGCCAAAAACACATATCACCGAAGTCGCAGCACAGCCACCACTCACTGAGCGTCTCAACAGGTTACTCAGCATCGCTGAGGGTCATTAAATGCATTGGTAAGTCACTCAGCGTCACTGCAGGTCACCCAGCGTCACTTACGGTAACCCCGCATCCCGCATCGCTACAAGTTACCCGATGTCGCTACATAACACCCAGCACCGCTGCAGGTTATTTAGCGTCATTACATCACTGCAGGTCACCCAGCCTCGCTGCAGGTCACCGGACATTGCTGCATTCACATCACGGGTCATTCAGTGTCGCTACAGGTCACCCAGGGTCAGCGCACGTCACGCAGGGTCACCTATGCTCGCCCATTGTGTTTTACAGTGGGTCCGGGATATTTCTTTTATTTCACAATGCGTGTATTTGGACCGTTCGAGCCCATGTAGACTTCTCTAGGCGAAAGCTTGATCATTATCAACCACTTTCACTCAAAAACACGCATGTGCATTTGTATTTTTAATTCATTTTCACATACCGTTACCCAAGAACAGGCAGCCAGGAGTGTCCCTCCCTCCATCCCAGCCACACAAGAAACCGTGTCAACACCAGAAAACAAAATCAATTCGCGGGACTCCCAGCTAAACACACACAAAAAAAGCAGGCGAAGAGGTGGCGCAGACCCGGCAGGAACCATGTTGTGCGATAGGTAAGGACAGATCATACATGAGAAGGCTTAAAGTGATCATAACCAAAGTCAGATAATGACAGCCCGCCAGAATCATCCAATAGCTGATACCACTCATTCACGACGCCAGTGAGGGTTGTGCAGTCACACAAGTCGGAGGGGCAAGTAACTGGTCATTTTCGTGCTGGGTTTTGAGCTGGATGTCCAGGGAGTTCACACAGGTAAGCGGAGCTTGTTGCTGGGGGAGCTTCCAGCGACGGCTCCTGATAGATTCGGCCCCAGGGAAATTAAAACGGTTCCACATTTCTTAGGTGACAGGAAGGGTACTTTTGTCACCCCCGCATGCCATTTTGGCTGCGCAAGGGCAATGTTGTATCAGTGATACAACGTGACGACCATATGTCATTGGCTGACTTACTCTCAACGGTTGACCGACGTAATTACCAAGACTTCTTGTCATCCAGAAAACGAGTCGGCAGCTACAGTATCTCTGTAGACCCGTGGTTCATATCTAAACAACCGAAACTAATATGGCAGTAGACGTGCAACACACCCTGGTTGGTAAAAGGGGTAAACATTTGACACGTCGCCATCATGAATTACGGAAAACACAGACGAATGCATTCGGTCTACATGCCGTAATGCATTCACCCTGCATGCGATGGTACTTCCGCTATGACAAAAGCTACATAGCACTACTCCCTACCACGCGACACAATTTATCCCGAGGCGGGGCGAGTCGCCTCATTTGAAAGGACATCATTCAGAGGCCATTTGCCAAAAAACGAATATGTGTCGGCATTCCTTCCAAAACTTTCCAGCTTCATGTCAAGCTGAATGTTATAGCTGTCTGCAAATATGGGAATCTTAGCCCTTTCCTTACCGGTTATAGCACAGCTGATGCAACTCTCCCTTCTCGTTCCCATCAGGGCGATCTCGTTAGCGCACAAGTCACTTTTTCAACCCACAGGGTGTTTTTTTTTTAATGTGGTCGTCATCTACTCTGATGGGCCGAATCCCAGCTCTCCGCCGGAGTTTGAGGCGAACTAGGTCTTTGCGTGAGCGGGCGTCTGAGTGTGTGACTGAGGGTCCAATACAGCCACGAATTATTACTCAGCCACCGGCGAGAACTGTCCGCGTTACCAGTGACCTGTTGGCTGGAGTGGCTGCTGAGGTGACCTGCTGGCAATGCTGGCTGCTGAGGTGACGTGCTGGCTGAAGCGGCTGCTGAAGTGGCCTGGTGACCTGGTTGGGGAAGCTTCCGGGGTTACCTGCTGGTTGGGGCGGCTGCTGAGGCGACGTGCTGGTAGGGGTAGATGCTGGGGTTGCTTGCTGGTTGGGGTCGCTGCTGGGGGACATGCTGGTTGGGGCAGCTGCTGGGGTGACCTGATGGTTGGTGTTGCGTCCAACGCTACGTTCTACACCTCACATTCCGCACAGGACTCCTCCAGCCTTGACACGACGCCGGCGGCTCGTGATCCGTGCGGCACCGCGGTGCCCCCCCCCCCCCCCCCGCCCCGACTCCGGTGAAGGCAAGCAGCCACCTCGGCCTTAGCGAAGCGCCGAGCTTATGAACTGATACCCGGTGGAACTGATATGAACATTTGGTGCTGCACTCGACCGCGGTCAGCGCTCGTTGATAGGCGGCCCGCAGCGTGGGCAGGTATCAGCGGACTGAAGCGTCACAGGCGTAACCCCACGGCGACTCTTGGGAGGTTCAAAATAGCCGAGAGCGCGCTCTCCCAGCGCTCCCGTGGCGTACTATGCTGTCCTGCCATGGTGAAAAACCTAGTGCATGGCCGGTAAAGACGTAGGTTTTCGGCGTGTTTCGGTTTCCGGACACACTCAACCATTACATGGGACGCTTTAGTGAAGTCGTCACGAAACTTGCCTGGCTGTTTGAGGGCGTGATCGGAGCTCCTGATCAGATGCTGTGTACAATAATTCAGTTTAGTGGTTCCAGGACGTAATTTTGCATCATATTTCGTCGTGCGAGGCCAGGGTGAGCTTTCCTATTCCATGGGACAAGCGGAGGACGCCTGTATGGAGAAACGCATCACGAGGAAAAACGACACAAACAAAAATGTCTATGAAAAACTGTGCACGCGAAGTTCTGCGAACACGAACATTTGAGAGAGAAAAGTTGCATATGGGGATTTGTGATAAGAAAGCTCGCGTACAAAGATAAGAGGAAGAAATTTTGTACAGACCTACAATAATGATATTTGCATAACACTTTTGCGCTCGAAGAAATGCAATGCCAATTATAAAGATCTAAGAGGCATTTGATAACAATTTTTGATCAAGTGCACGTGGAGTAGCCTTTAAAAACCCAGCAGAGTCAGATTCTGAATTTGGCCTCGCACAGACTGGATGAAACGCAGACTCGATGATTTAACTTAGCCGTAAACATGACGGCCAGGTGCAGTCAGTCAGGGACACCCGAGTTCACACGAATCTGAAGAGAGCTACTTGCCACCGCGTCGGAATCACAACCCCTTCCCGTGCGTTGAGTCGAAGACGACATCGCTGAAGCGATGCGGTTCCGAAGCCTGGACTTCTCGACGTGTTCTGAGATCCGCCGCTGTCACGCAGCAATCGGCTCCCGTCGCCAGCGGCCTCCACGGTCAATCAGTTGGCACGGGCACATATGTAAACAGCTTTTAATCCTCGTCCCGCCGCACAACGCTACCATGCCACGATAAACTTTACAGCTTCAAGCCAACAGTGAACAGCCACTCCCGTGCCCCCAAACAGACTGCGCCCGACACAAAGCCACGCCGAACAGACAGCGAATGCTTCACATTTCCGAGGCCAGGCCCCTACCATTGTCACCTGCGCTATCACATTGGTCTGAATACGGCAAACGCCGTCACTCCACCTGTATAAAAGTAAACAACTCGCGCCGGTTGGGCTGGTGAGGCCGCCGCACACGGCGCGTCACGCATCGACACCCGCTGGCCGGCCCTGGCGACCGCAGCAGCCGTCACTCATCGCCGACCACACCGCGCGTACCGCCTCTGGCAAACACTACATCGGCCAGTCCCGCCTCTGACAGAGATTCGCCGCCAGGAGCCCGCGGGGCGGCGCTGGATCAGCACCACCCGTCCTGCGCCGTCGGCACTTCGAAGATGTTTTATCAGGGTGGAACGAGCAGGCAAGGGGACGAAGATCCAGTGGCGGCGGCATCGGCATCTGCATCGGCGGCCACTCAAACCGGCATCACCAGTCGCTTGCCCCTCAGAACTGGGAACAAAAACAAACTGCGTCAGGCTGAACGGCGCACGGCCTTCCCTTGAGACGGCGGATTGTCATCAGTGCATCGCGCATACCCACCTACGACGTACACTGCCTTCCAGATCCATCTCTTTCGCCGAGATCAGCGTGCAAAACGCATCGAGCAAGAAATTGCAGCGCTTCTCAGCAAGTATAATTAATATCAGTTCCAACATTCAACATCGGAACAAAACACTTTTGACACCGCATCTTAAATCCGCCTCATCGGCAAGGCCGCCATTGAAGCAGTTGCATGGCTTCAACAATGTCTGCATCGGCGCGTGCTGCTGGGACACAGCCTACGGCTGTACTGATATGTGGGTGCGCAGTTCTGCGGGGCATTTGCAGGTCGCATGTGTCCGGATACCATCACCACGTGATAAACCGGATTGGATGTCAATGTTTCACATTAGCTGGGGGCGCTGATGAGCAGTATACAGCCGCATGTCCCAATGTACGCCTAGTGAATCCCACCTAATCTCCCCCCCCAAAAAAAAACATCGCTTACGTCGCAACGAGCCCATACGTAGCCCAACAAGCGATCAGTAACTCACCCTGTAACTCACTCAGTAACTCAGCAACTCGCTCTGTAACTGTGCTTGCCCAACACCGAGGTGGTGTACCGGTGCATACAATAAGTGATGGTGAAGTGGCGTGTATAATAGTTCATACTGCAACCACAGTACAGTGCATGCATATATCCGAATGGTGTAATTTCTGCATTGCCCCAACAAATTATTCGTTGCAAGCCAAATCAACGAGAGTACGGACAGCCGCAGGTGACAGGGAGAGCATGGACAGTCACAGGTGACAGGAGAGCACGATAGCTACAGGTGACAGGAGAGCACGACAGCCATAGGTGACAGGAGAGCCCAGACAGCCACAGGCGACAGGAGAGAGGTGATAGCTGTTGCGCCTAACGCATGAGATGCGATGCACAATGCACATACATCGACATAAGCTGTCCGCTAGCGAGCACAGCCATCTGCCAACGCTCGCACGCTCTAACCGGCATCGAAAATCAGGACGCTGATACACGGAGGTACCATTCACTTCGCGCTACGACCAGCTCTATTTCGCACAAGGGCGTAGTTTCATAGCGGGAACGTACAGCGCACACACATACTTCAGCTGAACGAGCGTAAAGCCTGTCTGCAAACAGGGTCATTTCGGGACGCCCTTCAACCATAAAGTTTTCAAACCTGCCGACTGCTTGTTTGCCATCGTGCCAAAATGGGATTGTCCGCTACGCCACACGGATTTTTACAATGGGATCGTGAAACAAGGGTCGGACATAACGCAGCTGCATGGCGACACATAACGCAGCTGCATGGCGACTTTGAGTATGGCCTGTAGTGTGCCCTTTAAATATTTCCGACGTTAACGGTAAAGAACACATCTGCCACCATTCAAAAGGTGACCAGGAGCCCTTACGAGTCACGATCCTACGTATAACTCAGGCAAACATATAATTAAGAGTATAATAACGAGTGAGGGCCAAGGCATGGCCACTCCCGGCCAGCAAGTCTTCTATGTAAGCTCTAAGCTAAGTTCCGTAAGCTCGGTGAGCTCTATTTGCGACCACCAAGCGCGTTTTCCGTAACAGGAAGTCCAATTCCTTCAGTCATGATATATAGCCCGCAGGCATCTGTACGCATGCTGTTTGAACACGCCAGATTTACTCGCAACACTGAAGCGTCACAACTTCGCCCTGCGTTCGATTAACCCACGACAACTACAAGTTTTCAGTTCCCAGCCAGGTGAAGATCACGGGTCAGAGCCGGGTCCAGGTCCCTCGGCCACTCGACGCCGCAGCAGTACGAGGCTAGCGGATTTTGACCAAGGAGCGAGCACGCGGGCAATGACATCGGCCAGCGCGGGTCGATGCGTCGGAATCGCCGCAGGCTCCCATGAGCCGACCACGCACCCGGCCGGTTCGCGGCGTGATCAAAAACTCAGCAGCAACTCAGCAGCCCGGCCAGATCGAGGTGTGAAACCAGCCTCACGGTGCAGGCCAACGTCACGGCTATCTGTCAGCCGGGGCTCGAGGCCCGCAGAGCTGCCAGCCGGGGCTCGAGGCCTGCAGAGCTGCCAGCCGGGGCTCGAGGCCCGCAGAGCTGCCAGCCGGGGCTCGAGGCCCGCAGAGCTGCCAGCCGGGGCTCGAGGCCTGCATAGCTGCCAGCCGGGGCTCGAGGCTTGCACTGCTGCCAGCCGGGGCTCGAAGCCCCCAGAGCCGCGGGCGAACCGATAATCGACCAGATCGTCGTCAATACTGCCTTTTCCGATACCGATATCGAATACGGGACAATCGGGCTTAATCCAGAACAATGGGGCCATGAAAACCGCATAGGCGTGTTTGCCGTTGACGGTGGCCAACATTCCTCCCCCCAATATTTCCTTTCTACGCAATCCTCTGGTCACTGTCAGCCCGGCCCAGCAGGGGGTGAGCTCTCCCTCCCAGGAAGTGACTGCCCGGCGGGCGGCAGAGCCAGCCGGACCCGGCCCACCCACCGTGCGAGGCGGCGCCACCGACGCCGCGAGGTTAGGGGTGCCGGGAGTGTAGTGGTTAACGTGTCTGCGTTAACCAACACGCGTCTGGGAAACCAAAGGTACGGGGTTCAATTCCCCGCGGTGTCCGCTCTTCTTGCCAGGGCGAGAGGCAGACGACGCCATATAGCTTCCGCAGCTGAGTGCCTCGCAAAGCCCCAATGACACGACACCGACGCCGCGCACGCTGTCGACAGATGAGGGCACGTCCGGTCGGCAGGTGCACGGGCCGGCCCGGCTCCGTGCCAACGGCGGCGGGGTCGGGTCGGCGCGAGCGCCCGGCGTCAGGAGGCCCCCGCCGTCTTCCCGCCAGTCTCGCGACGTACGGAGGGCATGGCCATCGCTGCCCGGACGGCGCTCCTACCGCAGCGTGACGGGTGACGACCAGAGGCAGACAGCGCACAGCAGGCGGGACGGTACGGCGGTCGAGCGGGCCCGGACGGTGCTCCTACCGCAGCGTGACGGGTGACGACCAGAGGCAGACAGCGCACAGCAGGCGGGACGGTACGGCGGGCGAGCGGGCCCGGACGGCGCTCCTACCGCGGTGCGACGGGCGACGACCAGAGGCAGACAGCGCACAGCAGGCGGGACGGTACGGCGGGCGAGCGGGCCCGGACGGCGCTCCTACCGCGGTGCGACGGGCGACGACCAGAGGCAGACAGCGCGCAGCAGGCGGGACGGTACGGCGGGCGAGCGGGCCCGGACGGCGCTCCTACCGCAGCGCGACGGGCGACGACCAGAGGCAGACAGCGCGTAGCAGGCGGGACGGCACGGCGGGCGAGCGGGTCCGGACGGCGCTCCTACCGCAGCGCGACGGGCGACGACCAGAGGCAGACAGCGCGCAGCAGGCGGGACGGTACGGCGGGCGAGCGGGTCCGGACGGTGCTCCTACCGCAGCGCGACGGGCGACGACCAGAGGCAGACAGCGCGCAGCAGGCGGGACGGTGCTATGCCTCAAGCGGCGTCACCCACTCTTGCTGCTGTACGTCACGAGGCGTCACCCGTTCGTGCTGTACGTCCCGAGGTGTTACCCGTTCGCGACCTGATGCTGTCACATGTCGCACTGCGTGATGGCTGGCTGGCTGATTGGCCCCGGGCACCTTCAGATATTTGGTGGGGATGGGGAGCACCCTCATTATCCGCGAATCCTTGCCGCCGAGGTAACGACAACGGTTCAGCCAACTACGGGCAAGACAAAAGGAAGCCAAGATGTTGGGCGAACGGTCATCGACCAGGCAAAACTTCATCAGACTCTCAGGGTTCACGAAACACGCCGCTATACCATCGAAAGGAAATAATACAGGCTGAAAAAACAGACGTCCGCACGAAGCGTAATCCGAACAATGCTTCGCCGGCGGAGCAATAAGGCACAAGAGTAACGAGAACGGTCGTACGTCGGCCGACGCACTATCCCGTCCTGAATGCCACACGGGCCTTGAAACTACGACACACGCATACACCAATACCCATCTGTGGCCTCCGGGCCGGATGACTCCGTTGTTGATAACGTACTGCGCAATATAGGCCCCACAAAGCTATAGATCGGTGGGCTGTGAATGCGCCTTATGATGAGTAATTTCGGTAAATGGATATTAGGTGAGGCAACCGAACAGCCACACCGGAAACCTCGACCGAAAAATTATTCGACAAAGGCTACTGTTCAGGGTCTGGTGGCATCGGTTCCAATGTATTCGACCATCTTTTTTTCTCGCTGAACATGCGCACACGCCTTGCTGGCCGTGGAAAAGGACAGGATAGGTCCATATGGGGTGACGCAAAAATAATTTTTCACCGTGAACACTGGAGGGGAAGGGTGAAACATGGCCGAACTTGCCGTTGCCCACTAGTTTTTTTTTAAGAACGTCAAAACTGAAACTAGCGACGGGCAACATTTGTACCTACCAACAATGCGGAATGCGAGTAAACAAAAACAAAACACATAAATTGGAGCGTTCTTAACTGCAGCCGTGCACAAACACAGTGGACTTGCGCGCGCCTGCCTCCCCCACCACGGGTGGCCGAGCGGCCGCAGTGCGACGTGCCCACCTCTGGCTGCACCTGGAGCACTGCCGCGCCGGCCTTGTAGGCGACTGATACATCCACTGCAGATGCCTATGCCACATCACGGTTCACTACGACCAGCTCAGATCAGACGGGGGGGGGGGAGGGGGGGAGAGCCAAGTAGCCACGTGATTACGCCGATGGTAGATGTCTGTCATGTCATGTCATTGGGGCTTTACGACGCACTCAGCTGCTGAGGCTATGTGGCGTCGCCTGCCTCTCACCCTGGCAGGAAGGGCGGGTGCCGCAGGGAATCGAACCCCGTACCTCTGGGATGGTAGATGCCTAGTGGCCCAACAGGCCCGCTTGGGAGATAGCACCCAGCGGAACACACGACTCACCTGTCTTCCCCCACGAACAACGTAAAAGAGCACTAAGGTGAGATGTATTTATTCGCGCACTGCCTGGCCCCTTGGTACCCGGGCATCCCTTGGAACCAGGGCATCCTTTGAAGCCAGGGCATACATTGGGTCGGACATCCCTTGCAAGCGGGGCATCCCCTGAACGTTGGCCTTCCCGGCATCTACAACAACACTTGTCCGTGGCCCACCACGGACCAGACGCGGGCGTCTCCGCTGGAAGACAAATAACAAGCGGTATCAGGACAGACGTTTGCTGAGCCTATATCTACTCCCGGGACCATTCTCAGAAAGCTCATTTGCCCGCTAGTCCTCGAGGGGGCGGACATGCTCCATTCCCCACCGTAGCCTCGCCCGTCGCTCAGGCGCCACCCCCGCCCCGCCACGCGACTACAGAGTCGCCGGAAGCTGGTGCCGCAGTTCCCCGAAGGGCACAGCGGCCGTTGACTCTCGAGGGCATCCGCCACACGTCCGACGCGCCTCTGACGTGGGCGCGTGACGTCACACGTCAGAATGAGGCCGAAGACGTCAGACTGACGCTGAGGACGTCGTGCTGAGGCCTAGGACATCAGACTGATGCCGAGGACATCAGACCGATGCCGAGGACGTCAGACTGATGCCGAGGACGTCAATCTGATGCCGAGGACGTCAGTCGGATGCCGAGGATGTCAGTCTGATGCCGAGGACGTCAGTCTGGTGCCGAGGACGTCAGTCTGGTGCCGAGGACGTCAGACTGATGCCGAGGACGTCAGACTGATGCCGAGGACGTCAGTCTGATGCCGAGGACGTCAGTCTGATGCCGAGGACGTCAGTCTGATGCCGAGGACGTCAGTCTGATGCCGAGGACGTCAGACTGGTGCCGAGGACGTCAGTCTGATGCCGAGGACGTCAGACTGATGCCGAGGACGTCAGTCTGATGCCGATGACGTCAGGCTGATGCCGAGGACGTCAGTCTGATGCCGAGGACGCAGTGCAGACATCGCCTCCCATCAGAGTCAGCACTGTCGTCTTAACTGGCCGGAGACTTGATTTGGCCGCTCAATACAGACAAAGGAGCCACCGCGACTTGACATGACTTGGCCGCTCAATACATGCAATGGAGAGATAAGATGTGGATATGATATGGAAATGTTACGATACGTGAAACCCTGAATATGCCTATGGGCATGCGAATCGACGCGCCCGGCTGATCTTCAGCCCGATCTCGCGCTCGATAACCACAAGCGCGTCATGACCATCCGAACTATGGCTGCCTCCAGCGACGCCTGGCCGCATGCTTACCAGTTGCCTGTGCAAACGTGGCCACATCTTTGACACTGGTGACATTCGACAGTGAACGTTACGAGATACATAATTTCGTTTCGACCTCATTTGACCTGCAAAAACCCAACTTAGGGCTACTTTCTACAGGCCTCAAAGTGGGATCGCACAGGCATCAGCGCCGGTGAAAATCACGTGACTCCAGCAATACTGGGTTAAAGGTTGGGAGGGTAGGGCGATATCCCACCATCTTCTCTTACGAGGCGTTTGATTTCACAGGCCTTTCACGCCTGTACGGCAGTTTACCGAAACTTCACCTTCAGACGCCAAACGTCCGAAACTCACAGCCAAAGGGAGGTCCCGCCGTAATCCCACCGCAGCCACGGCTGACTGACCTAGCCAGGGCAACGCTAATGCAGTTTGCAAAACTCATCACTACCTTCTATCGCTCTCGCTGAATGTTTAACTGGCTGTAGAGGTTGTTCATATTCCGCAAGAGTACAGCGTGACCTGGCACGCCGACGAGCCCTCCTGACGGCTGACAACGGTCGCCTCCGTCACATTCATTCTTCAGCCCCCCCCCCCCCCCTGAAAAAACACGGCGCCGATAATTCACAACAGAAGCGGTGGTCTCATTTCCAGCTTCTAGTTCTGAACTCGGCGACGCTCACCTCACCATTAAATGCCACTAAATGCCGACGTCTTGTTAATTTCTGGGAGAAAAAACAATCCAAGCTAAACGCCCGTCCCGGACACGCCTTCAACAACACTGCAGCTGGCATTTCGCCAGCCATTGCTTCAATTGGCCACGGCACCGCTTTGCTTCTTCTATCGGAATCGCCGCCGCAGGACCCGACACCAGCTACAGCCTACGTTAAACAACCCAGCATTCTCCGCGGGGGCGACGACACCGACGGGACCGGCGGCTGCCTTCAGCGCTCGGGGGTTGACGCCGATTCATGGCTGTCAGAGCTCAAGCTGGACTAAAAACACATCTAGCGACTCTAGAAGCGTGGTAAGCTCTACTCGGCACGCTGTCCAGTTGCCGGAAGGCAAACAATTCAACCCGCGTCGCACAAGCACGGCCACCCTCCACCCACGCTAGAGACCCCAGCAGTAAGCCATGCCAGAGAATGCGCACATCCGAACGAACAATACAACATCTTAGCCTCCGCGCTTTGTACTACAATACTGCCAATAGCTACCGCCCCACCAGATGTATTGTATGTTTAAAGGCCGGGCAAAAGCAGGCGCTACGTATCATCCGGTGGTTTAAAATCGATCCTCTCGACTGTCCACAGTGGGGCAGCCGAGAGGCGGAGGTCAACGCTCGTCCGCGGCCCAACTACGCCGCCGCCGGTGCCTGGTTAGTGACAAGCGAGCACGTGCTGGGCCGGCGAGGCGGGGCGGGGCGGGGCGGGGCGGGGCCGCGCCGGCGGCGGAAGGAGAGGGGTCCGCGCCTCGACTACTTACAGCCACCCCCGACACCGCCACACGGCCCTTGTCATCGTCCATTTCCGTCGTGAAATCCTCCTCGGGCAACAATTTGGCCGCTTCGATGGTGGCAGCGTCCTTTATAAAGTCATCTGCGAACGCCGAGTGCGGGGAGAAATACGGGATATGCGGTGTCCCACTAGGCAGCAGGGAAACGGGCCAACTCTGACGGGACGTGCGGGTTCGCTGGAGCGTGGCGGGGCCGTCCCACACGTGACAACACGGCAAAATGACACCGCCTCAAACCTACGCCAAAACACAGTCACACAGATGTGGAGTGAGTTTGGTTGGTTTCCGCATCAATGGCAGCATGACTTCCTCCGAATAGGGAAACGAAGGCTAATTTGGCGATGACTAATTCGGTGATAATTGGCTAATGTGGCTAATTTGGTGGTATACTTTTGACGGGGAGGGCATTTGACATCATCTCACAGAGCAATGACAGACGGATGGGTCACTTCGGGCACGAGCTAGCAGCGAATACAGGACTGCCGCCGGTCTAGAAATAACGCCCGCACGGACGGCGCCCATTCCAGGAGGCCCAGCAATTAAGCCGTCAGTTTCACCGGCAGGAAGTCATGCCATCGCCTCCGCGTGGGACTTATTGGAAATGGAGTGAAAACGAAGTCCCAAGCCGAAATGGTTTAATCGCTGAGAAGTTCCTTTGGAGGGCACAGATAAAAAACATATGGCACCCACATCCGTCGCCGTATTGGTGACGATGGTGATAGCGACACCTGTCGGATAAAAAGGTCACAAGTCCTAAACTACGTCCACATTCAGCCTACCAAACCCAAAAAAGCATGTTGGAAATGGTAGGCGGCTTTCTATGCGCGGCGACCACAGCGTTTCCACATATGCGGCGAGCCAGCCGCCCCGTGGAGTGAGGCTGGCGGCGCCGGCCCGCTCGGACTGCCGGCGACCAAGCCACCTCACAGCCAGCCCACCACCACCGGCAGCTGAGCTCAGCACATGACATGCCCAGAGCGTCACAGCACATGACATGCCCAGAGCGTCACAGCACACACGACAGACCGGCACCACACGCAAGCGGACACGGCCAACGCGCCGGCCGCGCGCTCCTGAAGCCCACAGCCGCCAGAGGCCGGGTGTGGTACGCTGACGAGCGCATACTGCGGGCGGCACAGCCCCGTGGGCGGGGCGGGGCGGGGCGGGGCGTCCGGTTACCTTTGGTCACGTAAAGGTAGAGGAAGTCGGCGTACAGCACCGTCTGTACCACGCCCGCCACGATGGCGATCGGGTCGCTGAAGTTCTCGTAGTAATACCTGCGGTCGAGAAGCCAGGGTCACACAGAGGGGATGAGAGGCACATGGGGACAGTCAGATGAGGGACGGCCCGGACGAAGGAACAGACCAGACTCTGACTGGTAGATCTACCCGCGGATACAGGGAACCCATCATGACCTCGTCGCATTCAGGAGGTCACCACGCGCGGAGGCACGGGGTCGTCCATAAATTACATCAAGCTTCGCAGGGAATAGGGTTGTTATTGAGTGCGACAGAAGCGTAACAATCATAACAAGGGAGGGAGGTGAAGGTTTTGGATAGTGTTATGATACTCAGGTGTAACTGCAAAACATGCCAAAATTTTCAAGAACAAATGAATACCTTAAAACAGGATGGTGGCTATCTCTGACGACAAAGTGCACGTCTGTTTTTTGTTTCGCGTCTCTACGCCAGCGGCCAAACAGACGTTTCTCTGGCAGTTACCTACGATACTGGGTGGGATACTAATGGGATACTGCACAGCTAGAGGGGGGAAGGGGGTCAACCAGCACACCCAGTGTGTAACCAGGGGAAGAAAAGGCCAAAAGCGCGTCACGTCACGTCACGAAAGCCACAAGGCACATTGAGAAAAATCCAAAAACACACCACATAATTGATGGCTGGCCCGGGCTCACCGGTAGATCCAGTTGAGGATGTACAGTCCTCTGTATGCCCCCAGTGCAAACAGGTAGTGGCTGGTGATGGTCTCTGCTTCGCCCGTCTTTGAGATCATGAAGAGTTGCGGCAGGATGGCGACCGCCTCCAGGTAGATGCTGAACGTCCAGCAGACCTGGCGGGCCCCGAGCGAGGTCGTGACAGCCACCTTGACACAGCGGCCACTTCTTGGACATACTGGTCAAACCCAGGCAGTGACAGGCCATACAATGACTTACAAAGGTAGCAATCATAGCTTTGTTATATGCTGATTGTCTACATCAATTAACACTGGGGAATCAGCACAGGTGAGATGGAGTGGCTCAAAGCTCAGCGCATCCTAGCATGTCCTTCTATTGCCAGTGACAGTGTGAAAGTGCTTAACTGATGGTAATCTGGAATACCAATGATCAAGAAATGATGCAAAAGCTTAATGAAGACAGGATGGATAACCCAGAAACAGTAAGACAAAAAGAGAATGCCTCACAGCCCTGATTCTTGGATCACCATTCAGCTGTTACAGAAGCACTGTTCAGCACCACTGCAAGCTGAAGCACACAGGGTACATACTTGCTGCTCTAGGGACAGTTTCTTTCAGCTGATTGCATACCCTCAAAATTGGTGCTGGTCAACTCCCACAACTAACCTCCATGACAGTTAATTCATGGTTTATGATCAGAGCGAGGGCAGCAGCTGGCAGCAGAAGTAGCTCTACCCTGCAATGGCATTAGAACAAGAGGTCAGATGTGGGAAGAGCATGTAATCACAGCTAAGACAGCAGCTGGCAGCAGAAGTAGCTCTACCCTGCAATGGCAGTAGAGCAGGAGATCAGATGTGGGAAGAGCATGTGATCACAGCTAGGAGAGCAGCTGGCAGCAGAAGTAGCTCTATCCTGCAATGGCAGTAGAGCATTAGGTCAGATGTGGGAAGAACATGTGATAAGAGCTAGGACAGCAGCTGGCAGCAGAAGTAGCTCTATCCTGCAATGGCAGTACAGCAGGGAGTCAGATGTGAGAAGAACATGTGTTCATTAACCAGAGCAAGATTATAATTCTTCCCCTCATCACATACACATTTTGTTAGACAGATCATACCTCCAGGTGGACCTCTGTTCAGACTAGCTATATCAAACAGACTTTATTCATAGCAATGGTACATATCACACAACCCCTTGTGGCTAACCACAGCTGCAATATTACAGATCTAGTAATGTGCACATATTGCTTGATCTGTGCCTGCTGTCGCCGCATGCAGGGCCCTTGGCGGCATTGATGGCTATTGATGGCCTCGTTAACCACAGGCTCAGCTTATTATGTGACAATAATAAACTATAACAGACATCATTGTGTTGTCTATCAACACTCTGGCACTGGGCTCAAACCTGTGGGCTACAGTGTCCTGTCCAAGTAACCCAACACAGTCAGCTCCTGGTGCTCACCTGAGGCTGTCATGGTTCCTGTCATATGTGGATTTAAACTTCACAAATATTAGGTAGACTGTTGCTGCTGATGCAACTATGAAGAAAATTTTCATGGTGGTGTTGTAGATAGAGACAAAGTTGGAGAGGAGGTCTAAGTAGCGACTTAGATAAGTTACCAGGAACAGAGCCTGAGAGCGCCCTGACAGGCCTGCAAAATGTGTGTCATGCATCAGATTAAAACAAATCACATGCGGCATGTATACATCCTGCATACTCCAGCAGACAAAATTCAAATGTCCAGCATACCAATTTGAGGAAATAGCTTGAAAAGCACAGACTTTAATCTTATCTGAAATTATGAACATTTAGATATTGGAGATAAAATCAGCTGCTGAGCTGAAAAGATGCTCCACTTGGCATGGAATGGTTCTAACTCTCAAGACTGAAATGTGTCTACTTTAACTGATTAATTACACTGATGGTATGCCAGGATTTCTTGACATTCAACCTGTGTGACATTCCCAGCAGCTGGGGACCAGCATGCATGAAATCCATTCACTGTGCATTCACATGCACAAAAGGTGGATGAATAATCAAATGCAAACAAGCACGGCACACAGCCAAGCACACCAACAATGCATAACTGCCCTATGCAACAGGCCAACTTCTAACTGTCCACCTGACTTACAAGGCAAGTTTCACTGATACTGACCAGACTAGCTGCCTGCCTCTCACCCTAGAAGGTAACGACATCTGCAAAAAAGGTCACCTGGAGGGCCACAAGCAATCGAATCTGTGAGTACCCACATCGTCTCAAATCGGTGCACCGTTAGGCGCCCGCACACTCAAGATACCTGCACATGACTTTGACGTCCATATCTTGGCCAGAAGGATGATGATCGCAAATAGATGGGACAAGTCCCCACTGAGCCGAAAAACATTCATCTTCCTATACTATGTTCACTGCGCGTCAATCCAATATCGAGAAAGAACTAAAGCACGGCGAAAGGCACCAACACGAGCCCGAAAGCAATACGCCTCCCCGACTATCCGAAACTGCGGGCTCTGACGACTACGTTGCTGCGTGCCACGTGGCAATTGCGGCGCTTCAACGTTCGACCCGCTACTGTCAACCTAAACCGGTTCGCAATCTGCTGGGGTTGGCTAACCCACGGCCATGTAACCCAGCGACCAGTTTCTGGTTTACCGAGTATTACTCAGAATGTATTTGTATTTGAAGCCGCATGCTGCTGAAATCAACCAAACTTTACAGAGAGGTATCCTATACCGATAAATGTCGTGTCGATACGTCGGCTGATGCCATGCACTGTGACTGGCATCATGGACGTTTGGACGAGGTCAGGGGTGTCAACTTCTGTAAATTATTGGGGAGCCGAATGGAAAGCCCGATAGCCTACCCCCCCCCCCCATTTTTCTATCACCGGATTAAGCCCACTTTATTTTCATTAGACACCATGTATGTTTTCAATCTTTGTATAATTTATAAAAGCCTTTTATTTGAGAAGCAATGAGATGAGCATGGGCTAGGTCGGCTCACGTCCGTGAAGGTTGCATGCAGGTGGGCTAGTATTTGGGCCCCATCTGGGACGCAGATGAGCTGGCCATACGCTACCATATTCGGCGCAGGTGCATTAGTCTGTCTACTTTGTGCTCCTACTTCCGATTTTTTCCTTGTCGTGTACAAATGAGCACGTAACAAAGGAGAACAGCACGGGTTGGGGTTTATATGGGATGCATGTGGGCAAGTTGGGCTCATGTCAACATGGGCCGTAGGTGGGCAAGTCTTTGGGCTCCATGTTAGACTCAGATGGGTTTCCCATATGCTGCCATCTTTTACAATAGTGTATTAATTGTTGTACTTTGCGCTGCATGGCTGGATATTTTCTCCTCGTGTACAAACTAGCTTGCATCAAAGAGGAGCGGCATAGCCCCAGATCCAAACGGGCCGCAGGTGGGCAAGATGGCTACATGCCAGCATGGGATTGGGTCCCGTTTGGGCCCAGATGGACTGCCCATATGTTATCATCTTAACTATGTGGATAATAATTTTCGTGTCGCGTGCTTCCTGGTCTGGTTTTGTCATGTCATCTGCACATAAGAGGGAGAGCTAGCATGGGTCTCATCCGCATGGGCTGCGCGTGGGCGAGCTTAGCTCACGTCAGAGTTGATCAGTTCACTGCCATGTCACTTGAGGTAGTTAGTGTATTGATCAGTTCACTGCCATGTCACTTGAGGTAGTTAGTGTATTGATCAGTTCACTGCCATGTCACTTGAGGTAGTTAGTGTATTTCCTGACGGAAGTTGGTGCGCTACGGGCATGGACCCAGCCCTATTTTGCCTTTCACTCGTTGATGGATCGTTGGTCGTGTTTGGAGCTCCCCGGCAATTACGGGTGTCCCGCTGGCCGGTCACCCGCTGGGATCTCAGCAGTGGCGAGTACGGGTGCGAGCGAGCGCATCTCTTCAGGGGTACGGAGGTGCCGGTCAGAGGGCTGGGCGGGCCGACGTAGGCCGGCAACACCGAACACACCGCTAACCACTGTCCTCCATGATCTTGGTCGGAGTTTCTGGCGGTTGCATGCAATTGATCAGATGCAGTTTCATTCAGCTGCTTGATATCCAAGAAACACAGGTCTAGAGGGTCATGCTTGACCTTATTGACAACTTAAGTGTCAGAAGTCCGACATGGGCGACTCGACTAAATTGTTGCGATGCTTGAAAACTACTAGTCCAGTTACCAACTCTCCGTAAAGACTTTCAGCATGTCGAGAGCTTTTGTCGGTCCGTGGCATTTGTGGTTGTATAGTGTGTTTGGAAAGTCAGCTATTGACAGCAATTGAATGGGCGCTGTGTTTGCTCAATGCAATAAGCCTGGAACCGGCGCTCCCAGCTGGTAAAGGCTGCCTGATCATTTCGTTGCTTACAAAAGCTGTACCTCCAGTTTTTGTGAGCTAACCGATATAATTGTATTCAACGGCATTTGTAAGCCAGGAGAGTATTCAGATGCTGCATCGTATTGCGTCGTTTCACCTTCGCCCCAATTCGCCGCTTTTTCATGGAGATGGGGAGGGGTCGATGCGACCCATGTCTTTACCAAACTACGGAAGAAACAGTCCCGTAGAGAGCCCGGCGGATTGCCTCCAATGAAATCTTGCGGTTAATAGCCAGGTTGATGCCTCTAAGTCCATACTTTACCCTACTAGGACAGATCAAATGCCAATTTTTCCTGGAAACAACGTTCTTCAGTGTTGCATATGTACGTTTACGTAACAAAGCAGCTTAACAGCATACAACTTACACATACGTTTTTCTTATTTGATTTTGAGCATAATCACAGACACACACGCACATATACATACATCCATACATATATATATATATATATATATATATATATATATATATATATATATATATATATATATATGTATATATGGATATGTATAAATATATAATGGATGTACTTTGAGTGCACGTTTATTATGTACGGCTCTGTTGACGTAACAGTGTTGGCCAACATGCGCCGCTGGCGGATCCGTCCATTGCCGCCCGCCGCCAGGGCTGACCGTGGATCAACAATCAGTATTGCCACAACTTTTTCACCTTTCGGAATTCGAACTGATAGAGAAACGCGTTTGGTGTCAAAACACAGACAATGAGTAGCCATAGGATAACGAAGCGTTCGGTCCGGTTGCACGTTCCAGAGATGAATCCTCAGAAACTTCGGGAGGGTGGGGGGGGGGGGGGGGGGGCAAGGGTGCACCACTCTTTCCCTTAGCAGGGTGAGGGTTAAAGTTATATAACTGTTAATCCCTGAGAAAGTGTGCGATCCTATGTATGACATGGGCGTGTCCAGAAGCATTTATGGTTATTTCCTATGCGGTATGATTTCGCTCTAAAAGAATTCTGGAGCGTTATTGTAGATTTAGAACCAGACGCCCAACATTATTTGGCAACTAGAAGCCATTCTTCAGGAAAGGCCCCCCCCCCCGCAGATGGCGCTGAAACCATTGCATTGAAAAAATGATCCCCGAAGTTAAGGAGTGAAAATAAATATCCTCGGTTGTCATCGTCAAACGGTAGCCTCTAGTCCATTTGTCGTATGCCTTTAATTCACTGCATTCACCTGCAAACCAGACCCGCTAGGAATAAACAATGCTGTATTTTTCATGTACCACTTGGCAGGAGGAGAGTCAGAAGCCTCTTTACAGAAGTGCTTGCATAATTAATTCGTGGTATTATTTGCCACAGTCAGCGCTGATCCCCCTGCCAACAAGATGGGAGTGGGAGAAAGGCGGGGGCGCCACCTAAGCCAAATCGCCGCCGAACATCTGTGATAATCGTTTTTCTCAACCCTGTGCTGTTTTTGACTTGTTCATGTACAATCCCTCCTTCCGTGGCTTTTATTTACGTGCGTATTACATTACCTAAGCAATGAACATTTGTTGAGTATTACAGAGCCCTTTAAAGTTTTAGAATTTGCCCAGCGCAACTATGAGGAGCTTTGCACAAGCATAGCACTGTACTGACAGCCTTATTCCTCGTCAAATAACCAGGAGAAAGGAAAGAGAGATGCATTAATGTCTCGAAATGCATTCAGCATCAATGAATAACGCATCTGACGCCGTATTTAAAGGAAGCAAACTATCTCTGGACAGCATGTAAGTGTGAGTATTTGCGTAAAAACGCATTATTAACATTACAACTCTACATGGCAACGTGTGAATGCTTGCAACGCTTTTTTACCGCTGGAGGGTATTGACCTTCAAAAAACTCATGCGACCTTTTCCCATGGACTTCTCTGCCGGAATGTTTGTTACGATAGTTTCCCGGCGGAAATTTTGTCCCACAGCCTGCATCTTTTGTAGCATTTGGCATGATTAACTTCTTGCATGACGAGCTCTTTGGCGTACCTATGCTTTTCTATCGTACTTCGGCATGCAAACTCTGTCTCAAGAAGAATTGTTGTGCGATCTTCTTCCATGCGTACTTTTAACCTCAACGGAGTCGTTGGCACAGCCACCAGATGACACCCGGAGGGTGTTATCTTTGCTTCCAGACAAAAACACGCATAGAAAAGGCCGTGTGACAACTGTTTGCAAGTTACAAGCTTGCACGCGTGAAGTATGTCAAGATAAGCTGCGTACGGTATCAGTTTCGTAATGTGAAAGATCCTTACTTAGAAACCTTGCATGGCAAAACGCAAAACAGGAGTCTGCAAAAAGTTCAGCGCGGAACTGTTTGTATCGTACACGTTCGTATGGATAAGTTTGTTTGCAGTTGTTTGCCAAGGATGAAGACTGTAGAAAAAAATACCGTTGCTCAAGTTTTTTGAAAATGTGTGACGTGGATACACGAACATCCGTCCTCAAATGTTTGTCATCGATAAGGTCAGTTTCACATAAGCATGCACAGAAAGTTGGAATTCAGATGTCTAATATGTACATCATCATGTTGGGGTCAGACATTCACCAGGGATGCAGCGCGTCCGACAGAAATATGGGCGTCATTGCCGATGATAGCGAAAGGGCGTTTCAACTCACATTATTGTATGCTATGGTTGCATGTCACATGCTATGTATCTTGTTCGCGCCAAAATATACGCCTTGTTTGAACTTCCGTGGAACCCCTGGCATGGCCGCACCGGAAGGTAAAAGGGTTCATGCGCCTTCATTTCGCTGTATGCTTTTCAAGAGGTAAGACCTATCGCAGCATTTTAGGCGGGAAAAAAATCGGAAGCTAGACACCGCCAAAAAAGGAAGGTGACAAAAACCATAAATGAAATATTCTGCTTTAAAAACCAGGCCACGGAATGAAGGCCCTTCCGTCATATAAGCTTCATCTGGGCCTTTCTCCCGTCCCCCGTCGACGGCCACTGCCCTGACCCGGCCGTCTCCCGCATGACTGACTGCGAACTGATGGTATGCCTGTTTTGTTGCATACTTCTGTATCAGTGTTTCTACTAACTGGTGTATAAAACATATGTTGGACACCTGCAACAGCATTCCGAGTTATCTTTCCTTACACCACACCAACTCAAAAAAGAGCTTCTGAGAAGCTGCCTGCCCAAGGTATGAATTGGCCTAACGGACATTTAGTTGCCCAGCATTCAACGCAGCCGACTTGATCTGCTTTTGTCCGTAGGCAGGAGCGTAGCCAGAGCCTTGCCAAGGGAGATCAAATGGTTGAGAAAAGCTCCTCTTATGTTGACATCCACCGAAAAATCTTGGATCTAGGTTACTTGCAAAAAAGGGTACACAGTTTTCTTCGCTGTATTGCTATTTTTACCTTTCAACCAGACCACAAACCAGAAGACACCGTGAGGTCAATTTTTCATTATGGAGTCAAAAAACTGCAGATATCAGGCGTTGATTTCGCGAGGTAGATTGCAAATTAATGCGTTTGATCGAAATGTAAAGATGAACATTTGCTTGCAGGTCAAGTGGTCAACAATGTGTCTAAACACGCGCCTGGATGGCCGGCTATACACCCTTCGCTCGGGTGGGGGGGGGGGGGGGTCAATTTGACCCCACCTGAGATCTCGGGAACTAAGAAAGCTAGAGACACCAAATTTACAGGGTGTGTTGACCTGTACGTGAACTCACTCAGATCGAATTTTCAGATTCCTAGGTCATGACCTTTGGGTCAAAAAGTCAAACAAGGTCAAGTTCCAAGTTGGTCTCCAAAGTGCCTCCAGAACCTAGATAACCATTCTGAGCAAAAGGCCACATTCCCATTCAAGGTCAGTGACCTTTTTTGACATTTTGAAGGTTAAAGTGACCAAAATCATACAGCATTGCTTTGAGTTTGGCATTTGACTAAGCGACGAAAGCTACGCTAGGCGGTATGTTGTTAAAACAAAATGTTGACTTAGGTCATTTTAGGCCAATGACCTGTTCTGACGTCTAAGAAGTCCATGGGAGATGTATAATGCGGTTTTTGCTTTCAATAAACTCGAAATGAGCGCCAGAAACTATCCCATACAGCAAGCCCTAGAGTAACAAAACAGGTTGGTTTGACCTTGGTGCGACCTTCATACCTGACCTTAGGTCAATTTAATCTGCTTATTCAATTGTTGTGCTGTCTGAGAAAACATCTCAGAGATGTATGGCCTCGTCTAACACTCCGTTGGATCAGATTGAAGGATTCCCTAAAAATTGCCTTCGCTGAAACCATGGCCTGACTTTGACGTCCCATACGTCAGCGACCTTACAAGGTACATCTAAATTTTTGATGCCAAACGATCCGCTATTCAATTGTCTACAGCTATGCAAAATTTGGCGCGGCTACGCCGTGCCGTTCGGAAACCATTCTGGAAAAACCTTTGGGGGGTCAATTTGATCCCCACCCGAGCGCGTGTTAACATGGCCAAGCTATGTTTGTCTGGAAATGTTCAGAATTCAGTCAGAATCGAAAAGGAGTACAATTCATTAGCATAGTTTTTAACATGCGCGCTCGCAAATCTTAACAACAAAAACCCCGACACCAAGGTCGCATTCCTCATGGGTGAAGTACCAACTGGAGTACCAACCTATGACGTCGAAAATACCTACGCCATACATAAGCGACAAACCTTCAAGCCGCGGGAGCAGTTGTGACGCACTTACCTCTGGCGACAACAGGTTGCAGCTTGTGGACAGCTGTTGGTAATGGGGAACGTGGACCAGGCTTAGCCCAGCGACAAACTCTTAGCCATGGCCGACCGGTGGGCAAAAATGATGACGCTTCTGAAATAATTATCTTTAAGCCCTTAAATCGTTTAGCCATGCATGTTATGTGACGTAGTTTTGAGCATGCACGCTCACAAACCTTAGCAACAAAAACTGCGACGAAAGGCGTTGCAGTCTTCGTGGGCCGCATAGCATCGGCCCAACAGCTTATACTGAGTCGTGGCAAGCGGGTGGCCGAAAATGACAACACTTCTGAAGGAAATATCTTTTGAATGCCTCAGGACATCAAATCTTACATTTAGAAGGCAGTCTGGGCGATATTTTACGCATCATTTTTAGACTGATGATGAACGGGCTGGCCCTTAAAGCACTGTGAAGTGGCGCTGGAATCTGGTGTTGGAACTGGAAGAGTAAAAGTAGAATTTCTTTTCTTGTGTTTCTGTAACTATTTTCCTGTCCGGAAGACATATAAACCCGGCGCCCGCCGTCTCATGGCACTTGCAGTGTCTGACACCGTTTGGTTTTACGGAAGCTGCAACTCAGCCCATCGCTGTCCCTGCTCTTGAGGCCGCGGGAGGGCATGCTCGGACCTTTTGATGTCATTTGTTTCAGTGATCCATTCTGAAAAATGAACGTTTTAAGGCCAACCTGGGATGGCCTTCTTCGTCTGTTACGCATCGCGACCCTCTCTATTCAACAATATTGAGGCCCCTTGTTTCCTTCGGGGCGAGGGGCCCCTCGGGTAGAACGCCAGAGTCATATTGCCGTTTCCGGTCAGGGACTGAAGGGTCCTCCCGTTCCTTCCGACAACAAAAGATAGCCAGTGTCTTCTGCCTGTCATTCTGGTCGCACGGGGCGGAATCTCCTGGTCGATCCGAAGGCCCTTAGAAGGATACGTCAGATCACATTATTCCCCTTCTGACACGGGAGGCCTTCTGACCCGCGCAGTTGGCCCTAGGTCGGCACAGGAACCCTCATTGACGCAACATCCCTGATCGCTGCAGTCGGTCCATTGATTGTCACGTAGATTCCAGTTCCATTTTTTTATGTGTTCTTCAGAGATATTGAGAACTCCCTGATCGTAGATGGTAGATGAAATGGGGTCTCAAAGTTATATTGACATGGCTAATTCATGTTCGTCTTAAAATGTTCAAGATTCAGTCTGGACCATTAAATGACAAAAAAAACAACTATGCAATACGGTTTTGAACATGCGCGCTCACAAGTCATAACAACAACAGCCTCAACGAACGGGTCTTCTCAACGAACGGGTTATCTGGGGTGTAAGTCTCCACAGGTCGTGCGGCGTCCGTCCTGTGGCTGTGACAGTAAGCGATGGCCGATAAGCAAACGAAAAAGATGGCGTAGCTTGAGGAAGATGGCTAGTGAAATAGGTAAATAGGCATGTATGTTGAATGTAGTGCAAAATTGAGCTAAACACAACCCTTAACTGAAAAGTGGGGGGGGGGAGCAGTTAACACTGATGGCCCCGTACATTGAAAAGTGGAGGGCCCATGGCCCCCTGCCCCCCCCCCCCCCCCCTCTTGTTCCTACACCATGTAAAAGCCATGCTTCCAAACACCACTTTGCACGTAGTGGTGTCGGCGGTAAGCCAGAGTTAGCGTGAGGTCTAAAGTAAAAGGTAAAGGAAGAAGAGAAAGTAAGGCTTAAGATCTTTCCCGTCAGCCCCCACATCGAACGCACCGTCACCGCGCATGACGTCACGCATTCCCCGCTGACAAACGTGCTGACAACAGATCGAGTGCGACCGTGATTTGAAGTAAAAAGTAAAAGCAGAGGGTATGGTAAAACGACAAAAAAATTTCCCGTCACCTCACATATCAAACGCGTCAACACTCATAACGTGACGCATTCCAGCTGACAAACGTGCTGATGACAGATCGAACGGGGCCGGGGCTTTTCTTGTTTCATGTACAATCCCTTCAAACAATATGGCAGCGGAAAGACCGGTGACGTTTGTTTACATTCGTCCGAGGCAATGCGTGCGCGGTCTGGTTCGCTTGCCGGTGGTGGATGCCTTGCGCTTATATGGGGTTTATAGTTCGGTCTAAGCCGCCTTTTCGCAGCGACGTTCGTCGATAGTCCGGCGCTCCATTTTTGACAAGGGTTAATAGATATTGAAGACATACAACGTTATAGTAACATGTCAGCGGATTCCAAAGTGTCTCAGAGTAAGAGGTAAAGGTCCAAAGACTCATTCAGCAAATTGTCCTGATTTCTGGGGTATTATACTGAGTCACGGTGTGGACTTGTAGGGAAAGCACCCTTGGATATTTTGTCATACAGCGTCTAAAATCAGCACTATAAAGTGATCATTCACAGCCTGTCCAGATAGCTCAGTTGGTTAGAGGGCATGGCTTCCAATCCACCCACCTGTGGTGCAGCAGGCTTAAGTTTTTGCTTTCTAGTTGTAAGTGCTCACTATTTGCACTTGGCATGTGTGGTCTGCAGTCCACTGCAGTAGCTGTGCTAAGCATCAGGCGATGGCAGATGCGGGGTGTTGTGCAGAGTACTGTGGCACATTGAACTTTTGTCATCAAAATGTGTGGATGACCTACATTGGTCAATGAGATGTCAGTGTTCAAGGTTCACACAACAAGCACTGCTTAGCCTCATGTCTGATCCTGAAAGTGCATTAATTGGAAAGGTTTGGATTGAATCATTTTTTAATTGGTAAAAGCTTGGGCTAATTAGCAACCTTGTAAGGTAGGGTCATGCACAAACATCTTACTACATGCAGGCAAGCATGCATAAAAATCCATCTACTGCAGAGGCTCCTCATGGTCAATGAATGATAACCATGCCAGACCTTGCTGTTTTGTGCCAAACTCAGGCCAGTTTAGCTTGATCTAGATTTGTTTTATTGTTTTACACTTGGGGAGGTTATTTAGAGCATTTTAACCTAAAATTAGTTTCATGAAATTATCACTCCATGAAATACTTGCTGTTTGTGTGCTGAATTTGATTGTGACTCTGACCTTCCAAGTTTACAGCATACATGCACTGAACTTTTAGCAGCGATGATGCTGGTATGCTAGAAATGTTACACAATATTTATTTTAAAATACATTTTGAACAGTTATCCTGCCATGAGGCTTGCCTCAGACACAAACAATAGGCCTTGTGCTTGACATACTCAGAGAAGCAGTGCAATCATTGCAGCAATTTCAGTGGATGACCACATAATTCTGAGAGCTCAAAGCTCCATTAGCTGAGCATAGAAATGCATGTTAAGTAACATATTATGTTTGAAAGATGATTGTAGGCAACATCACTTATAAGACATTTATTGAAGCAAAAATGATGTGAAAATTAAGTAATTTTGCCTGGGCAGAGTTTGATGCATGTGTGCTAGGCTCAGAGCACTGATGTGTGGGCAACTAGAGCAGGGGATGGGTATTATGCAGGTTTATCTAATCCCATCAAAAATGATCATATGCCCTTTTCTGCTATTGTGATATGCTAAGTCACAGAATCATGGCCTGTTCTGGCCAGTCCTCCACTCTGATGGGTCCATTGAATACTTCTGAAGAACCTTGAGCCCTGTCCATGATCTGAGCTGTGTTCTCTTATTTTATTTCAGTTATTTCTGTACCAGGGACTATCAGAGAGAACATGCTCCACTGTTTTCCACTGAAACAGATGCTCACCCATTATCCAGCATATATGTAAGTAATGGTACAGGTCATCCTGTGCAAACAGTGCATCTTTGTGTTTATACTTACTGGTTCTAATCTGATAAGTGCATGGCCATTTATAAGACATGCTTTTGCAAAAAAAAGCAATTATCCCTGTGTTATATTGTTGGAATGCACAAGTGAGATGGATAGCAAATATTTAAGCAACACACAGTCAGCCTTAATTTGCTGGTCAGAGCAAGGAACCAGTTGTTTGTTGCTTTGCAATTGGGATTTGGCAAGCAATTAGATACTGATAAGACCTTGAATGTCTGACTTTAATCATGTGATCTGTAACTGTTCAGGCATGATGTATGATCTGTAACTCTGTAAATGTGATTGTAACATATTACTGTGTTATCAGCAAAAATTAATGTTTACCACTTAGATGGATGCATTTCATATCAATAAGGCAATGATCTGAAGCAATTTTGGATGCATTCTCTGCATCAATCGCATGATTATTTGCGTGCAGATGAAGTAGATCACAACAAAACCATGACTGCATTTTGTATCCTGTATCATTGAGGTGGCTGCATTTTGTGATAACCTGAATGACACAGGAGCAGACAACAAGTGTGAAATACTTGTTTTTTAAACAACTGTCATTTGCGATGTTGATGATGTGGCAGTGTGGCACCATCCCCACTAACGAGGCCAATGCCGCCCATCTGAAGCGAGCCCTCTTCGTCAGTGGCGCGGAAAAGGTGGCGCCACCGTCGGCGACCCGCTGACTCAGCTGATGGAAGGCAGTGATCCTCTCTCAATGATGGCCGCCGTCGACGCAGCTGACGACCCTGAACAGGTCTCTGTCCGATCTGGGCGTGCTGCTGATGTTCTCCGAGCGTAGTCGATCGTGTATGCTGTACAGTGACAGCTCTCCATCGGGCTGTTGAGATTGACTGCCTTTGACAAAACCCACTGCTCATTACTCCCCAGACAGGCTTTTCCCAAGTAACTTTATTGGATTTTGCATCCTTGGTTGATGTCATTAACATGCAAAAATTAAGTGTAGGATATATGACATTCCTCAAATCCCCATGATACAGACATGTGCAACATAACTGATGTTGTGGAGACATAGTCTGAAAATGAAAGAAGAGGCATAAATGCGACACCGAATAACCATATTGATGTTGAACTTAACAAAAATTGACATGCAAACACACACCCATAATAGGAGATTTTATCTTCGGAGACTTCGAGTATGTCATAGTGGCTTCAATATTCCTATTCGATCTGCACATAAATATGGTAGTTTCGAGTTTGAGCTGATGAATTGTTTTGCGATATCTAGGTGTCAAGTTGTTTGGATCTGGTGATATTTGAAGTAGTGACATGATTCCCTAACCCTAGGTTTGATTCAAAACCGTTTGCTGTATTTATATGTGAACCTGATCCAGTGATGTGAACAGACAGGTGCCATCAGATATTAATGACATGTTGCGGGGTAAGGCAACTTGGATCAAGATTCATCTCTAAACATCACATGCCAAAATAAAGGGAAAATTTTTCAATTTACTGTGCCGACAGCACTGGCGCTCCATCGAAGGTACTCATGTGTTGACCTTCAGATTATACAACTTGTACATGTGGTTGCGAGGCGCCCGGCGAGCGTCATAGCTAAGCCGAGATCGCCGAAGTTAAACGTCATTTGACATGCGTCCTCAGCCTGTCGAGATGTCACGTGACGAGGCGGCGCACGACGATTGGCCGGCAGCACGGCGCGCCATCTTGTCCCAGTTCACCACGTCCGAGCTGGTGACCGTCACCACCTCGCGGGACAGCGGTGGTGACACCGGTCAGTGGCAGTGGTACCAACAATGCAAACGTCGCTGTTCTACGATCTGGTGATGTTGCTAACCATTAGCACTTGTGTAATGCGCGGTAGCACCTACCCCTTATCAGGTCATCACAAATAATGTACAACACATTTCTCTGTTCGAAAGCTAATGATGTCCCAGCCTTCTCTCCAGTATCAGTGTAATACCCCACCTATTCCATCTGCCCTCCCCCCCTCTCTCTCCCCCGGATCATTATATTGTTCTTCCTAATATGCACTGTTGCTCTACCTCCCCCACCACTACGTGTAACGCCGTCCGTTTCTCAGTATTGGTGTACATGACCCGGCCGTTCCTCAGTGTCGGTGCATGTGATCCCGCCCGTTTAACATGACTTGTACGACACCGACACTCAGGAACGGACGGGGTCACATACGCCGACACTGATATGACCCCGTCCGTTCGTCAGTGTCGGCATATATGACCCCATCGGTTCGTCAGTGTCGGTATATATGACGCCGTCCTTTCATCAGTGTTGGTATATGTGACCCCTTCCTTACCTCAGTGTTGGTATGTATGACCCAGTCCGTTCCTCAGTATCGGTATATTTGACCCGGTCTCGTCAGTGTCGGTATATATGACCCGGTCCGTTCCTCAGTATCGGTATGTATGATTCGGTCCGTTCGTCAGTATCGGTATATATGACCCCGTCCGTTCATCAGTATCGGTATACATGACCCCATCGCTTCGTCAGTATAGGCATATATGACCCCGTCTGTTCGTCAGTATCGGTATATATGACCCCGTCTGTTCGTCAGTGTCGGTATATATGACCAGGTCCGTTCGTCAGTGTCGGTATATATGACCCGATCCGTTCCTCAGTATCGCTATATATGACCCGGTTCGTTCGTCAGTGTTGGTATGTGTGACCCGGTCCGTTAGTTGGTGTCGGTATATATGACCCTGTCTGTTCGTCAGTATCGGTGTATATGACCCGGTCTGTTCCTTAGTGCCGGTATATATGATCCGGTCCGTTCCTCAGTATCGGTATATATAATCCGGTCCGTTCCTCAGTATTGGTGCATATAATCCGGTCCGTTCCTCAGTGCCGGTGTATATGATCCCTTCCTTACCTCATTGTTGGTATATATGACCCGGTCTCGTCAGTGTCGGTATATATGACTCGGTCCGTTCCTTAGTATCGGTATATATGACCCGGTCCGCTTCTCAGTACGGGTATATATGACCCCGTCCGTTTTTCAGCGCCGGTGTATGTGACCCCTTCCTTACCTCAGTGTTGGCATAAATGACCCGGTCTCGTCAGTGTCGGTATATTTGACCCCGTCCGTTCGTCAGTGCCGGTATATATGACCCGGTCCGTTCCTCAGTATCGGTATATATGACCCGGTCCTTTCCTCAGTGTCGGTATATATGACCCGGTCTCGTCAGCGTTGGTATATATGACCCGGTCCGTTCCTCATTATCGGTATATATGACCCGGTCCGTTCCTCAGTATCGGTATATGTGACCCGGTCCGTTTCTCAATGTTGATATATATGACCCGGTCCGTTCGTCAGTGTCGGTATATGTGACCCGGTCCGTTCCTTAGTGTCTGTTTATATGACCCGGTCCGTTCGTCATTGTCGGTATATATGACCCGGTCCGTTCGTCAGTGTCGGTATATATGACCCGGTCCGTTCCTCAGTATCGGTATATGTGACCCGGTCCGTTCCTCAGTGTCGGTATATATGACCCGGTCCGTTCGTCAGTGTCGGTATATATGACCCGGTCCGTTCGTCAGTGTCGGTATATATGACCCGGTCCGTTCCTCAGTGTCGGTATATATGACCCGGTCCGTTCCTCAGTGTCGGTATATATGACCCGGTCCGTTCGTCAGTGTCGGTATATATGACCCGGTCCGTTCGTCAGTGTCGGTATATATGACCCGGTCCGTTCCTCAGTGTCGGTATATTTGACCCGGTCCGTTCCTCAGTGTCGGTATATATGACCCGGTCCGTTCGTCAGTGTCGGTATATATGACCCGGTCCGCTCGTCAGTGTCGGTGCGGCCGACGGGGCGTGCTCAGGCGCGGGCGCGGCTGGCGCAGCTCGAGCCAGCCCCGGAGGACAGCACCGTCAGAGACCAGCTGACCCAGCACGAGGTCATAGGTGAGGGATCAGCTGACCCAAAACGAGGTCATAGATGAGGGATTAGCTGACCCGGCACGAGTTAACATGTGAGGGATCAACTGACCCAGGACGAGGCCATAGGTGAGGGATCAACTGACCCAGGACGAGGTCATAGGTGAGGGATCAACTGACCCAGGACGAGGTTATAGGTGAGGGATTAGCTGACCCAGCACGAGGTCATAGGTGAGGGATCAGCTGACCCAGCACCAGGTCTTAGGTGAGCGGGCTGACCGCTGCTGTGTGGAACGCGGCGCCGTCTCGGCGGCTCGTACAGAGATCACGAGGCTACGGGGCTGCTGCGAACGGTGTGGAGTAACTATATATATATATATATATATATATATATATATATATATATATATATATATATATATATATATATGTATATATATATATACATACATACACACATACATACATCTTACCGAATGCAATTTAGGACATGCATCTTACTAAATGCATCTTAGTACATGCATTTTACTAAACATATATTAGTGCATGCATATTACTAAATGCATCTTAGTACATGCATCTTATGTAACACATCTTACCACTCATTGTGTCAGAAAAGATAACCACCTATAAGTCCAAATGGACAAAGAAGCCTTTCTTCAGGCAATGAGGTTAATGGGGTGTCACTTTCTGGCATCAATAGGCTAGTTTCGTGACGTATCTCTATGTCAGGAGGACTGATGAGCGGCTCGGACGTGCAGTTACTAGTGCTGCTGAATCATGAACCTGTTGGTCACGTGGCCAGTGATCCAGCTGTGACGTATATTTTCATAAGTATTAACGTTCCTTTTATGATTTGAAGCGGCTTTTTCTAAAAGTAAACAATTTGCAGCACATTAGGGATAGCAATGTCTTGACTGTGACTCATGATCAGTAGGTTCATCATAATTCATGTCATTGGTACGACCCGTTCATGGCAGCGAATTATCGCCGGGCGATCGTGAAGTTGGCTTGTTACAACTTCACGGCACACCCGACGCATCTGTCACCTGTGGGTGCGATCTGTTTCGCCGCCCCCTCGCCGGTGCTCCCTACCAGTGACCCTGTCTGGCACTCAAGTTGCCGCGGTTCCTGCCCACAGCGCATACGAACCGCATGAAGAAGCAGCTGCAGGAGGCGTGGATGACGGACCAGCGGGTGCGCGCGCTCAAGCTGGTCATCCAGGTAGGCAGCGGCTCTGGGTCAGGCCACCTGGAGCTCCTGCAGCGCGTCCCGACATCCGTGGACGCACGCGGCAGTGGGCGTCGTGATAGGGATGGGAATCGTTAGCGACCAAAGGGTGCAAAGGTGGTTAGTCTGGGGACGCGGGCCCCGGAACCTCTTGCCGCCCCTGGCCGGCGCTTCGGTGGCACGGTGTGTTCGAACCGCCGTTTGGTGTTGGAAAGGTCTTTGGTTCGGTTCTCAGCAGCTGGTGCTGAGGCCGCCTCTGACAGACTCCGGTGACGTGACCTCATGACAAGTGGCCTAGGAACGCACAGGTGCGCACGGGGAGAGGCACACTTCGCCCGGCGCGTGCCTTGCTGGCAGTGCTGGCACCGCGACGAATAATACCGGGGATGCCCTTCACACTTGCTCGCTGTGGGCACAGTCCATGTAGGATGCATCTATGATGCCTCTGGTTGTCCCGGTTATCCTGCGGTGAACCTTGCTTGTAGCGACGACGGTTAGTCACGTCGGAGGCCGCTGGGGCCGTGTCAACGTGGCAGACGTCACCGTCATTCTTGGAAACACCGCGTTTGTGTACATGGTGAAGTCTGTGATCGCGTGCAGGCGGATGTGGAGTGTGTGATCATCTGTAGCATGTGGTCATTTGTAGGCTGGTGTAGAGTCTGTGATCATCTGTTGGTAGATATGGAGTCTGTGATCATCTGTAGGCTCATGTGGAGTCTGTGATCATCTGATGGCAAGTGTGGAGTTTGCGATCATCTGTTGGCAGGTGTGGAGTCTGTGATCATCTGTTGGCAGGTGTGGAGTCTGTGATCATCTATTGGCAGGTGTGGATTATGTGATCATCTGTTAGCAGGTGTGGAGTCTTTGGTCATCTGGTGGAATGTGTCAAGTCTGTGGTCATATGTAGCCGGATGTCAAGTCTGTGATCCTCTGTAGCTGGATGTCAAGTGTGCGATCATCTGTAGCTGGATGTCAAGACTGTGATCCTCTGTAGATGGATGTCAAGTGTGTGATCATCTGTAGCTGGATGTCAAGTCTGTGATCCTCTGTAGCTAGATGTCAAGTTTGTGATCATCTGTAGCTGGATGTCAAGTCTGTGATCATCTGTAGCCAGATGACAAGCCTGTGATCCTCTGTAGAGGGATGTCAAGTGTGTGATCATTTGTAGATGGATGTCAAGTGTGTGATCATCTGTAGATGGATGTTAAGTGTGTGATCATCTGTAGCTGGATGTCAAGTGTGTGATCATCTGTAGTCAGATGACAAGTCCGTGATCCTCTGTAGAGGGATGTCAAGTGTGTGATCATCTGTAGACGGATGTCAAGTCTGTGATCATCTGTAGCCAGATGACAAGCCTGTGATCCTCTGTAGAGGGATGTCAAGTGTGTGATCATTTGTAGATGGATGTCAAGTGTGTGATCATCTGTAGATGGATGTTAAGTGTGTGATCATCTGTAGCTGGATGTCAAGTGTGTGATCATCTGTAGTCAGATGACAAGTCTGTGATCCTCTGTAGAGGGATGTCATGTGTGTGATCATCTGTAGATGGATGTCAAATGTGTGATCATCTGTAGATGGATGTTAAGTGTGTGATTATCTGCAGGCGGATGTCAAGTGTGTGATCATCTATAGGCGGATGTCAAGTGTGTGATCATCTGTAGGCGGATGTCAAGTGTGTGATCATCTGTAGGCAGATGTCAAGTGTGTGATCCTCTGTAGCTGGATGTCAGGTGTGTGATCATCTGTAGCCAGATGTCAAGTGTGTGATCATCTGTAGCCGGATGTCAAGTGTGTGATCATCTGTAGCCGGATGTCAAGTGTGTGATCATCTGTAGGCAGATGTCAAGTGTGTGATCATCTGTAGGCGGATGTCAAGTGTGTGATCATCTGTAGGCGGATGTCAAGTGTGTGATCATCTGTAGGCGGGTGTCAAGTGTGTGAGCATCTGTAGGCCGTTCAAGGTGTGATCATCTGTAGCGGATGTCAAGTGTGTGATCATCTGTAGGCCGGATGTCAAGTGTGTGATCATCTGCAGCGGATGTCAAGTGTGTGATCATCCGCAGGCGGATGTCAAGTGTGTGATCATCTGTAGGCGGATGTCAAGTGTGTGATCATCTGTAAGCGGATGTCAAGTGTGTGATCATCTGTAGGCGGATGTCAAGTGTGTGATCATCTGTAGCCGGGATGTCAAGTGTGTGATCATCGGTAGGACAGGATTGTCAAGTGGTGTGATCATCTGTAGGTGGAGACTGCAGCCGCGGCCTGTCTCCTCCATGTTATGTCACGACATGGGTGTTTGCGTGTATCACACGCTCTATCAGCAGTACCTCTCCGCCGCAGGCTTGCAAGATGCTGGAGGACGTGTCGGTACCGCAGTTCTACCCCAGCATGTTCGCCCTGGTCACCGACATCCTGGACGTCTTCGGCAACCTCGTCTACAACCGCGTCATCTCCAAGGACCGCGAGAACAGGTGAGGAAGAGGGGCAAATTGTTAAACTGTGCTGAAGGTCGGCGCTGCTGAAAACGGCGCTGGAGAGCGTGGGGTTACTGAGCTACTTCCACGTGGGGTATTGGTGCTGGCTGTTGACTTTCCTATTGCTGAGATTATTGAGGGCCTCTTGGGGCATTTTTCCTGAGGTCAGTGTGTGCAAACCGCGAGATATTGCGGTGACAGTTGCTCTCCGTCCGTTCAGAGTGTTATGGATATTGTTGAGTGTCGAGCTACTGTTATTATGACTGCACATGTTGAGTCCACCGAGCGTGCTCATACAGTATGAGTGCGTTTACAAATGATGGGATTACTTGTCATTACCAGCGATTAGAATTTCCGCGCAAGCTACACTTGCGTGATCTACAAACTCTATTTTGTGGTATATACGTAAGGTATTTTCAAAAGATCACATCACAGTACCTGGAATTATCGGCATTTGTGCTTGTTTTTCGCACGAACAGCGTTTTTGGGTGTGCCGGCCAAACAAAAATGGTTGTCTTCTGTGCCTAAGTCTCCAGTGACAGATATCAGTGGGCAGTTGGTGCAGAGAATGCCGACTTGACAATCACTTGTTGCGTCTCCTGCCTTGTGGCGTAATTTACTATCACAGCGAAACAGCCAGTAACCGTATCGTAACTGGCCGCCATTGCGCTTGTGTCGAGGTGATCGAGCAGACCTGTGCTGGCTTAGACGGCGGGTCTGCTGACGAAGTTTGACATCGCCAGGTCGTGCCGAGATCATGGATGTATTCGTGGATACACCGGCACATGTGGGTCCGTGTAACCTGGCGGTATCGCGTGATGCCGGGGTTTATGGGGACACAATGCGTATGTGCCCGTCTGGATAACCGCAGGGGTCCGATCGATATTTGGAACGATGCTTTTCGCCAGTGGGAGAAGGGGCCGTAGTGGTCAAGTGCTTAGCTCGTTGGACTCTCACACGAAGGTCCGGTTTTGAGTCCCGGTTGCGCAGTGCCCCCCCCCCCCCCCCCCCCGAACGCTAGTGTAGCCAAGGTGGTCGCTGACGCTTCAACAAAAGGATGTGATGTGCTCGCTTCCCTTTCGAAATAGGTGAACCATTTTGTTATTTAAGGATTGATGCAGATGTCATTTGTTTGTGACATAATCTTTTGATGGGTGGTATACTTGCCGGGACTGTGAACTTGGTCCGGTGTTTTCGTATCTACGCAATAGCTCGACCAGATGACTCTCCGACCGTTGTTCGGAGACCCGCCTTGTTCCAGCCTTCCTGTTGTTCGGCGTTATAGAAAATCTGTGTCCAACAACTCTAAGGAGACTTTTCCGGTCGTAACGCACACATGGCTGAGCGCCGAACACGGTCCAGTCCCTGTTGGGGCGCGATAACGCCTCGCAACGGCCGAAGAATGGATTGGTCGAAACGCTGCGCACATGCGGGGGCAACGGGCGGGGACTGTCATCCAAAGCTGGTGCCATCCGTCAAACTAGTACCTCGTCTCAGCCGTCACATAGAGCTGCGCCTGGTTGCTGCGGAGAGTGCGGCTGACCACCCTCCCCTGTGACTGCCGTGCGTCGGGCCCCTCCGAGTCGAGCTGTGGCCACTGACGCCTGCCTCCCCCAGCGGTGCGACGGTGGCGCGGCCCGGCGCCGACTTGGTGAGCGAGGGCGGCCGCGAAACATGTCGCAACTGGTTCTACAAGATCTCCTCCATCCGCGAGCTCATGGCTCGGCTGTACGTGGAGATGGCCGTCTTGCGCTGCTACGACCTGCTCAAGCCCGGGTGAGGGAGCAGAAAGGCCGCTGAGGCCGCGCGAACTCGGCTAAGCCGGCGCCAGCGTCCCGCGCTACACTCGCAGCGGACGTCTATCTTCAAAGGCTTGCCGTTGTACCACCGTCTGTCTTGAGAGGCCTGACGTTGGACCGCCGTCTGTGTTGAGAGGCCTGACGTTAGACCGCCGTCTGTGTTGAGGGACGTGACGTTGGACTGCCGTATATGTTGAGGGGCCTGACGTTGGACCGCCGTCTGCGTCGAGGGGCCTGACGCTGGACCGCCGTCTGTGTTGAGGGGCCTGACGTTGGACCGCTGTCTGGGTTGAGGGGCCTGACGTTGGACCGCCGTCTGTGTTGAGCGGCCTGACGTTGGACCGCCGTCTGTGTTGTGAGGCCTGACGCTGCACCGCTGTCTGTGTTGAGGGACGTGACGTTGGACTACCGTCTGTGTTGAGGGGCCCGACGTTGGACCGCCGTCTGTGTTGAGGGGCCTGACGTTGGACCGCCGTCTGTGTTGAGGGGCCTGACGTTGGACCGCCGTCTGTGTTGAGGGGCCTGACGTTGGACCGCCGTCTGTGTTGAGGGGCCCGACATTGGACCGCCGTCTGTGTTGAGGGACCCGACGTTGGACCGCCGTCTGTGTGGAGGGGCCTGACGTTGGACCGCCGTCTGTGTTGAGGGGCCTGACGTTAGACCGCCGTCTGTGTGGAGGGGCCTGACGTTGGACCGCCGTCTGTGTTGTGAGGCCTGACGCTGCATCGCTGTCTGTGCGGCCGGAGGGCCGACGGCTGATGGTGTCCGTGTATGGTGATGGCATTAACTCATGGCTGTCTAATGTTGTACTGTTTTTTTCATCGGCGCCATGTCTAATGCCGGTGTGCGACGTACGTTCGACGCCCGCTGTGTGGTGCGTGAGATCCACTCCGATGCCCGCCTCGGACCCCCCCCCCCCCCCGAGTCCGATGGCTGATGTCTGCGTATTTGTTGGCTTGTTGTATCAACTAGCGCATCCGACGCGATTGCTTATGTCCGTCTACCTCTCGTGTTTGTTTTCATGTCCGTGTTACATTCGTATAATGGTTTACGTCTTGCGTCGGCTATTGAAGCTCGGCGTCCTATAGCCCACGCCTTCCAACGCCAGACGCCCCTCGTCCCATGTGTGACGCTGGACCCCGCTGATGCCTGAGCTGCCCGCCCCACACCGTCCGCATGTCCCGCGTCTCACATCGAACAGCCAAATCCTCGCCCGCGTAACGCCGGCCTTTCTCTGGCCACCCAACCTCCCCACCTGGTGACCGTCTGATCCCCTGCTGGTGTCCGTCTGACCCCGGTCCGTGCGGTGCAGCGGCTCGGAGGAGGCGGCGCGTCGTTTGGTGACGGCTGTGCGGGGCCTGGCTTCACCGCTGGCGGCCGGCTACGCCCGCTGCTACCTGAGCCGGGTGGCGCCGGCCGCCGTCCGCGCGGACAACCTCGAAGACCTGCTCGCCGTCCTGCTGCACTGCGTGAGTCACGGACGGGTGGGGGAAGGGCAGAGTTGACGGGGGCGGTGGCAGCGGGCAGAGAGTTGACGGACGGGGCAGCGGGCGGATTGGCGTAATTGGCTGTTAGAGGGCGGTGAGCAAAAGCCTGACAGGCTGGAGGATAAAGGCCCGGAGATGATGAGCGGGCGGATGCTGGACGTGGTGACGACTGACATGTTCGTTGGTGGGTTCTGAGATCACGCACCTACAGCAGCGGGTGCGTGTTGCGGGGTGCGCTACGCTGTGGTGTGTCGCTTCTGTGCATGTTTGTGGTGGGGCCCGGGAGAGCTGGAGGCCTCCATGTGACAAAATTTGTTGTGCTTTTGGGGGTGTGCGTGCGATCTAAATGCGACCTTGGGGATGAACCTGATTAGGCCTCATTTGTAACCAAACGAACTGGAGGCCCGACACTTAGTGACACTGGGATTTTAAGTGACATTGTGAATGTATTGCTATATTTTTTCCTGCAGTTTCTGTTCGTGCTTCGCGTGGATGTGATTCATCACATACATGCAACCGGCGCCGTCTTAAGTCGAAATACCTTTACTTTGCAATGCACTTTGGCAGCCGAAGACGGGAACTTCGGCGGTGAAAAGGACGCCATCGTCGCGGAGCGTCTCGCCGCCGCTTGGGCCCGCCATCCAGTGGTGCTTGCGCTCGGCTGTCGGCGCATGCGCACCAGACCGCCGCGGTCGCTTCCTGACCGAGCTGCTGCAGCAGCGTCCAATGCACAGCACGTGGGTACCGGGACACGAGGGCTTGTCGCGGCCGGCTGCGGGCAGCAGGCATACGCGCCTGGAGCCGATGTCGTCCGTAGTCGTCACCTTGCTGCCGTCTGGTGACTATGCTCGTCATTAGGCTGTTGTGTGGAAGGTCTACTAAGCTCGTTGGCTCGGGTTTTTTATGTAGGGCTCTCATTGCTCCGATCTTATGAGAAAAAGGGAAACTCATTTATCACTGCAAAGCTGAAACAAATGCTGCTAGATATACTGCGGACAAAACCACTCATTCGCCATTGTGCAGCTCGAACTGAGATGTGTTGGTAATCAGCCTGGATCACCGACTAGCACAGGGTTGACATATCCCGAAGCTGAATTCCCAGACCTGTGACGCGCCACAGCTCATACAGGTCCGGCGCCCGCAGCCGGGTGGGGCTGCGGATGTCGGCTGGCAGGCCAGGCCAGCCACTCGCCATTGGAAAGCCAACTGTGCTTCAGTTTGCGGGGCTGTCGTCTGATTTCTGGCGGCTGCTCACTGTGACGAGCGGTGACGGTGTTGGCGTGTTGCCAGACTGCTGATGGCTCTGCTGCGATCGTCCGGGCTCGACCTGCTGACCTCCCACGCCGAGCTCTTCGTGTCGGCCGTGGCCGCCTGTGACGACGCATGTGAGCACCGCCGACGGCTGCAGGCCTCGGATTCGTCTGCCCAGGCTCCACCTCGCGGGCGACGTGCTTTTTTCGAAATCAGTTGCGGAAAGTTGGAGTATGTTATCATTTGTCGTGCGCGTATCGACGGCACAAGCCTTGTCGTTGCCGTCGCTAGCGGTAGTGCACCGAAGCACTGATCGAGGCACGGCCGGTTGGTTGGCCACATCACGGCGCCGGATCAGCTGCAGTGTGTTCCATGCTCACGTGCCTCTCCTGTCATATAGTTTCTCTTCCTAGTCACCACCGGGTTATCCCCATGTACTCGGTGATTCCTTTCTACCATCGCTCCGTGCGCCCTCTTTCGGTAGAATGTCTTGCACTACGTATGTTGGTACTTTTCTCTCTTACTGTCTTCTTTATTCTTCCCTGCCCTTTCTTCTCTATGTTGCTGTCATTATGTCACAATGCCCTCTCCCCTCTCCTTTACCCTGTCCTCTCCTCTCCCCTGCGTGCCGATTAATTCCCGTCGTCCTTTCCTGCCGGTCTCTTCTCCCCGGCCAGCTTTCACTGGCGGAGGCTCCAACCTTCCCGCTCCCCCGCCGTCCACCCTTTCCCCCCCCCCCTCAGCTGTGCCTCCCTCCCGTGAGCGGTGCGTGTGACGTTACGCGGGTGGTGCGCCGTGCCAGGGCCGGGCCGCAGCGACTGGAGCTTCCCCGGCCACCGCCACTGTGACCTGCTGGCCGTGCTGGGCGGCCTGCTGACGGCCGGCCGGCTGCCGGGCCCGGCGCCGCGTCACCTCTTCAGCGCCGTCTGGCCGCTCGTGCTGGCGCTGCCCACCACCGGCGAGTACATGCACTGTCTGCCGGAGTGGTGCGGCTTCGTCGCCAAGTACTTCGGGGTGAGCGAGCGCCGCGGGCGACCACCGTGGTGGGGGGGGGGGGGGGGGGGCGGTCGTGCTGTTGCGACCCTGCTTCGGGTGCGGAAGGTGGGTGTTTGGCGTCGCCCATCTCTCTTCTTTCGATGTTTCCCGTAAACAGTAAGGTATGGGCACCATATGACCATTATAGTCGGCGCGTCCCAAAGCCCAACTCTGTATATCATCATCATCACCATCATCGTCACCATCATGATCGCTTCGACAGTGAGCGGCTTGATGGGCAGGCAGACGCGCACGCCGCCCTCACGGAGTCCCTCTCTAACATCAGTTTGTGCACGGGCTCGCACAGTTTTTGTCTTCCGCGTTTGTTCCCAGTGCTTGTTTGGTCCCAATCGCCCTGTTGTTCTGGTTTTGTGATTGGTTTCTCCTCAGATTCTGCATTTGTCCGGCCTGTGTTGTGGCTTTTGTATCACTGCAGGCTGATTGGAACAGTTATCTAATCACGGACGGGTCAGCGAGCGGCCCGGCGGCTGGCTAGTAACGACGACCGCCCCCGTCCCCTATCGTGGTGGGACAGCCGGCGACTGCTGGCTGACCGTGCTGGGCGCGCTGGGCGCTGCTGTCTGACCATGCTGGGCGCCGCTGGGCGTGCTGGGCGTGGACGCTGACCATATTGGGCGCTAACGCTGACCGGGCTGGGCGCTGCTGGTTGCCCTTGCTGACCGTGCTGGACGCTGACTTGGTCGTAGTGACGACTCTTTCCAATATGCTGGTCTGCCGCCCGGCCGGAGCAGCCTGACACTGAGTCAGTACGCTGGTGTGCCGCCCGGCCGGAGCAGCCGGACACTGAGCCAGTACGCTGGTGTGCCGCCCGGCCGGAGCAGCCTGACACTGAGCCAGTACGCTGGTGTGCCGCCCGGCCGGAGCAGCCTGACCTTGAGCCAGTACGCTGGTCTGCCGCCCGGCCGGAGCAGCCGGACACTGAGCCAGTACGCTGGTCTGCCGCCCGGCCGAAGCAGCCTGACACTGAGTCAGTACGCTGGTGCGCCGCCCGGCCGGAGCAGCCTGACACTGAGTCAGTACGCTGGTGCGCCGCCCGGCCGGAGCAGCCTGACACTGAGTCAGTACGCTGGTGTGCCGCCCGGGCGGAGCAGCCTGACACTGAGCCAGTACGCTGGTGCGCCGCCCGGCCGGAGCAGCCTGACACTGAGTCAGTACGCTGGTGTGCCGCCCGGCCGAAGCAGCCGGGCACTCCAGGCGGGCCCGAGACACTGGTTTGGCCAGTGCCGTGATGTCCCCGGTGTCGCCGTAAATATGAATGGTAATAGCAGCCGACCTTTCCGAGATGCTATCTGATGTCGCCTCTCTGTATTCAGAAGACGCGTTGTTCTGAGAGTGGCCCCGCCTTGCTTGCCATTATACTAGGACTCACTTTGGAAATGCCTTTTTATTTGAGTCAGCCGTCACACGGATGTGCCTTTAAATTTGTTCTTTATTTTTCGTTTGTAAATGTATTTTATGATTTTCTTTCCGTCATGTAACTGACGCAACGAAAGGCATGGAAAATATGTATGGACCGTTCAGCCAATACCGTACCATTGGTGGGACAACCATTGCAATGACTGCCCTACTCTGCCTCGGCGTTTACTGTGCAGCTATAAACGGGGACGTTCTCACGCGGCGTATTTCTCGGAGGTGCTTCCGCCACCGGAGTGGCAATAGCGATGCCCTTCTTGTCTGATAGCTCTCGGGCTGTGATGAACGTTCCTGCTGGACTGACCGCTTGAAGGGAGAGCTTTGGCGCAAATAACTGGCGCAGTTGGCGCTCCTTCAAAACTCAATAGCTAAGTAACAAAGTAAAGGAGAGCTTTGAACCTACCGCCAAGCCGGTGAAAGCACCACGGACGTTTGCCTCGGGAGATCCTCCACGCGTTTTAGATGACGCGGTGAGAGGCGGGGTAGGCGGTCAGTGGTTGATTATCGCTCATTTAGAAAGCTCGCATGCTAGTAACGTTATTTGGCTCCGAGCACATGCACAAGCTCATGCTGTGCTCTGCTCCCCGAGCACGCGCCTTTTCGATGCGATACGAATTGAACGGCGGGTACGGTCCGTGCGACTGTGTCATGCGGGGCTGCGACAGGTGTTTGCCGGGCCATGCAGAGGTGCTTGGGCGCCGTTCTCACTGAAGTAGGAATTGAATACTGGCGCGTCGCGGGAAGCTGGCGGACGCAGCTGCTGTAGTGTGGCACTGGAGCGTGCGGATTTTGGAGCTAATTAATGAACGGACTTCTGCTGAAAACTCCCGTGGTCTCTGCGCCCATGTTGTGGAGAGAGAGAGAGAGAGAGGGAGACGGAGACGGAGACGGAGACGGAGACGGAGACGGAGACGGAGACGGAACAGGTCGCTATCACCCCTTTCTGTCGTGATTGTGCCAGGGACAAAGGGCCGATGGGTCCAGGAGGTGCGGCCGGCCACGCCATCCCTCAATGGACGGTGGGATCGGGGCGAGGCTGGGTCCAGGAGGTGCGGCCGGCCGCGCCATCGCTCAGTGGACAGTGTGGGATCAGGGCGAGGCGGTACGCCGCGCTCGGCCGCCGCCGGGCACACCTGACCCAGCTGCGTGCACGCGGCAGACTGAGAGGAGACGACCTACGCGGGGAAAGCCTGTGGGTGGGAGCGTGTCATTGGAGCAGCGCCATGTTTGGCTGGCTGCTGTCGGCGCCGTTGACAGTGGCCACATGGCTTTTCAGGTTATCGTCAATTTTCACGTGCACTGAGTACGCTCGCAATAAAGCAACGCCCTCGGGTTGTCTGCACCGAATGACATGACAAATGCTGTGACACCTTATGTTCCGTGCCAGATATACAAACTCAAACGCAACTGTCTTACGCATAAGGTTCACCGTCCGCTAACCGGCGCTTCCATGGGGCCCGCTGGATTCAGGGCAGCGCTAGGTCGCCACACTGCGGCAGTTGCGGGGCGGCAGGCAGCCGAGAAGCTGGCGTCTGCGCAAGCTGTCAGCGCTGTGGTCGGCGCCGCCACCCTGCCGGCATGACCGTATAACATGGGCCCGTCAGCGGCCACTGGCACGGAGCACGTGACAGACCTCCACGTACACTTCTACGCCGCCGGAGGGGCTCCGGCGTGGCTGCCGCCGAGGCTCCAACGCGGCTGCCAGCCACGAGGCCCTAGCGCAGGTCACCGGCGAGCCGCTAGCGCAGGCCACCGGCGAGACGCTAGCGCAGGTCACCGGCGAGGCTCTAGCGCAGGTCACCAGTGAGGCTCTAACGCAGGTCGCCGGCGAGCCGCTAGCGCAGGTCACCGACGAGGCGCTGGCGCAGGTCACCGGTGGGACTCTAGCATGGGTCACCGGCGAGGCTCTAGCGCAGGTCACCGGCAAGGCGCTAGTGCGAACGCGGACGACATTCCCGTTTTACCGACATGTCCAGCTGTTCACACAGAGAAAGTCGTTGCCCAGCCTTGGCCACCACTGAGATCCCCTCTTGGTGACAGGTACAAGTTTGTTGATAACACGGCATGTTTCGATTACCGTTGTAACTTGACGGTATACCATCAACAAGGATCCTAAATTTTAAAAGGCAAAGACACTCGACGTCAACGTGGCACACCGTGTAAATAGGCAGCTTTCAGCGGGGGCGGATCCAAACGGGGTGGCCACGTGGCCATGCCCCCCCCCCCCCTCCCCTCCCGCTTAGGGCCCCGAAGCGGGCCAAGGCTCCAAAGGACCCATAGTCGACCGAAAAGGTACAGTTTTTAAACACAAAACGCGGCAAAATTGGACGCGGCAATCCCTGGATTTCCAGGCCCCCAAGAACAGCTGTAAGCAAGAGTGAACGACCAACGGGAAGAGGGAGGAAATATTCAATGACTGAAAAAGTTCTTACTTGGAAATTTTAAGCCTTATTACGCCGTCCAGGGACCCTATGCGGTTTCGGGGTAACCTATATGCCCCCTTGCAGGGTCATTCGAATCGCTAAGGAGCCTTCCGCGTTGCCCTTGATTTCTTTGCGTTTGCTCGAAGGGCCCTGCACTGTTGCCGTGCCCTTCCTGCTAGCGTGCCGTGGCGCTCTTCTCAATCAGGCACCTTCCAAGGACTCTTTCCGTTTACCAGAAAGGCTCGGTGGGCTATAGCCGGGACCCCATATGTTAACCTGCCGGGGTATTCTCGGCTGCTCGGGGGGGGGGGGGGGGGGGCCTTAATGTTGGTTTCGGTTCACCTACCGACACATTCGCGATATGCTCATTTTCCCTCTGCATTGGTCTATGGCGTTTCCAATTTTATGCCGCTTGTTTAGGGCCCTACGCTCTTGTCGGGGGCCCATCTGTTAACCTGCTCATGCACACGCTTTCGGTCGAGGCCCTCCAAATTGGGTCTTGGGTACTTTCTATTGGAATGGAAGGCCCTGCACACTTGTCGGGGCCCCATCTGTTGACCTGCTTCGGCACACTGGAATGTTCGGAGGCCCTGCGCATTGGGTATTTTAGTGTAGGCCCTACGCTCATGTCGAGGCCGTCTGATAACCTGCTGGGATACATTCGATATTTTGGGGGACCCTCCACGCGAGGTCTTGGGTGCGTTTTATCTGCATGTCCTACGCTCTTGTCGGGGCCTATCTGATAAGCTGCTCGGGGACATTCGATCGTTCGGGGTTCCTCTACATGGAGTCTTGGGTACGTCCTATTTGAATGGAGGCGTTACGCACTTGTCGGGGACCCCGTTTGTTCACGCCTTCGGCCTAACTGGATTGTTTGGGAGCCTGCTCATTGTGTCTTGGTGTTTGAATTTAGTGCCCTGCGCCCCCATCGGGGCTATCTGATAACCTACTGGGGTACACTCCATATTTCGGCGGCCCTCCACACTGGGTTTTGGGCACTTCTTATTTGAATGGAGGGCCCTGCGCCGTTGTCGCGGCCCCTTCCGATAAGCTGCTCGGGCACATTGGATTGTTGGGGGATCTCTACGTCGGGTCTCGGGTACTTTCTATTTGAATGGAGGG